ATGACAACTATTATGGCAGACGACTTCGGACTAGGTGCCTTCTACTAAGTCGCCCTGACAACAAGACCAAGTTGCGACGAGGTCAACCGATTTATATAAATCGAAAGAAGACTGCGACCATACCAGAGGCCACAACATCTTGGTCTTCATATCTTCAATTAAACTAAAGTGTAGGGTATAGTCTCGACACATTACCCAGTAGACCACACTGCCATGAATGTAATTGGATCACAAGGCAGACCTGAATTTTAAGGAAGCTGAGGCCTTTCTAATGTTTATATTTCTTATAAACTTGCATAAAAAAACATGAAAGTCAAAAAAGTAGACTTCTCTGGAGCATCAGCTGTAAGTACTGTGAACAAAATTACATTGGAGTCCGCAAGAACAATTAGCACACTGAGTAAAGAACACCAGCGACTCTGCAGAACCATGGATACGAAAAAGTCAGAGGTAGCCGAACACATTGATCCGGCGGATGCTCCGATGGAGTGCAACGGAGAGACTGGTTTCGTATCAAAAGAGCACAATAAAACGGAAGCTCCGGGAAGCTGTGGACACTATCTTTAAAAAACTTAATGAAAAGGAGACTGAAAGAGGGAAGAGTCAGCGATAATTTCGTTCACTTCCTGGGCAAACTTGGAGATTCAATGAAGACATCAAAAAGAAGACGCTTGGATCCAGGACAACTGTTCAACAATAGGAAGAGACGTAGCCAAGGCGTGACAAATGGAAATCAATAAAACGCGATTGCAGTGAGAGGAGCTAAACCTGGAATCGACTAAAAATATACCCGGGGTGATGTGGGATTTGAAATTAAAAGCTAAAGGTATAGGTAGGCCAGTTATAGGCCAGCAGGGTGTAGGCATGGGTGCATGTGTGCTTTTTTTCGTGTGTGTGCATGAGGGGAAGGTGACTGGTATCATGCTTGACCACAATGGATATCAGCCAACACACATATAGGTTTAATTGGGAATGTCAACTTGGGACACGAGAAAAGTGTGCTTTTCGTGATTCGAATAAAAAAGAGAAGCAGTCTCCTTTAGCTTTATACTGTTGGTTTGACCTTGTTTTCGCAACTTGGTTGGAACGTCGGGGAGACCTTGTGGAACGTACCTAGTTCCATGTCCTCTGTCATAGTTTTCGTGATTTCCAGCATTGAACCATTGGCTGAGTACATCTACAAAAAGTTTGGCCGGCATCGTAGTCGGCATCGTCAGTGAGAGGCGCCATCGTAAACGTAGCGTTACAACTTATGAGTGACAAGTGATTTTGATGTACAGCAGCGACTAATTGACAAGCCAGGTGGGAGAATGGAGGCAGATTGTAGACCAAGCGCCCTGCAAATGGCACTTGGTACCGGTGGTGGAAATTATTACGCTTCACTAAAACCACTTGTAGCGACACCGTCTTAGGCGACATTGGAAGAAGCGAGAGCACAAAATTATGTGAATAG